TGCAATACAATGCAATACATAAATAAATATGTTAGGGAATTGTAAAATTTCCAGTAATATAAGATCCTACTGCCCAGGTTGTACCCTGGTCAGGTACCTCTGTTTACTTCCAGCTCTGCTCATAGGCTTTGAACAAGAGGCTGAGATGCAGTAATGTAGCAGGTGATGGATTTCCCCTCATCTTTTATCTCCCAGCCACACTTGCGAATGTAAGAAGAGCCCTGATGGATCAGACCAATGGCCTGTCCAGTCCAGCCTTCTGCTTCCCACAAGGAGGCCTAAAGGCAAGGAGTGTGGGCACAGCAGCCCTTGCAATGCCTGCATGCCAAGCTGCTGTTAATGGCACAGGGGCAAGAAAGAGCCTGAAGCAGGCTGCTGTCTCAGTTTCATTCCCAGCACAGTTATTTGGGGGGATGGAGGGGGGATGAGGCTACCTTAATTTCTTTTGCTGGCCTCTGGGAGTGAAAACAGATTATAAATCTGTCTCCTATTTTAATCAGAACCACCGACTGATCAAAACCAGCCCCTGGCCTGACCCTATGTCTTTAATGGCCACTTAATCTGCATCAAACGGTGTGTGGAGGATTTCAGAGCAGGGAGAGAAACAGGATCAGTGGCAGACCTACTATGAAACTAATGAAGCGTCAGTTTCAGGCCCCTAATCCTGGAGGGGACAAAGAAGCAATTTTAGTCCACCTGCTTAAAAACTTTGTGTCTAGTAGACCCAATTTGTATTGCACAACTCAAATTGATTAATTTTTGTTGTCGTATATTTTTCAACAATCCTCAAGCTTTGAGAATCATTAGCACAGATGATGGAGAGGTGGAGTGTCACGGTATAGCGGTTTTAAGCAAAATCTGAGATTTAGTAAAAATTTTTTAAAAAACCAATTGTGGTGAACTGTTATGGAACAACCGCACTGAAGAAGATAACTGTGGTTACTCATTGTGAAGGGGCCCCAATTCAAGCTTCAGGGCTTCAAACCTGAATGTCCGCCACTGCTGCCAATACTTGTATATCAGGAGTGGAGAAGGCTCAGAAGATGAATGTGGCCCTCCAAACCTTTCTCTGGCCCTCCAAATTCTGTCCAGGCCACACTGCTCCCAGGCCCTGCTTTGCACCCCAAGTGTTTTTGCCTGGCTGCGGTGTGTCCTACAACTCTGATTGGAATGGAACTCTGCCTGAATGGAAGATAGAGAAGGGGATGTGTGTGAGTGAATATAGAAACTAGCAGATTACACCAAGATAAAATTTACATTTCTTGCTCCACCCACTTTTTCCACTGGCCTGCAGCCTTCAGAAGGATACCCTCCCCTATAGCAGGCCACTGTGGATCATCCTTCTATTTGAGGACTAAAGAGCTGGTTGCAGAATTAGCAGCTTTTCCCGGCATATAGATTCAACTTTGCAATTTCTAAGCCTCATGGCATCTCCAATAGCAGAGGGGTAACTTCCATCCCCACTTCCTTCTGTGCCATTCAGAGAAAGCGTCACTTGCTTAATGTCTGTGCCTCAGGCAGAGCCAGTTAAAAGGTGGCAATCCTGGTCACCACCAGTGCCCAGTAATGTTTCCTGAATTAGCAATATAACCAGCTTCCAAGTAATGTAAAGGTAAAGGTACCCCTGACTGTTAGGTCCAGTCGCGGATGACTCTGGGTTTGCATGCTCATCCTGCTCTATAGGCCGAGGGAGCTGGCATTTGTCCGCAAACAGCTTCCGGGTCATGTGGCCAGCATGACTAAGCCGCTTCTGGTGAACCAGAGCAGCGCCTGGAAACACTGTTTACCTTTCCGCCGGAGACGTACCTATTTATCTACTTGCACTCTGACATGCTTTCAAACTGCTAGGTTGGCAGGAGCAGGGACCGAGCAACGGGAGCTCACCCCGTCGGGGGGATTTGAACCACTGACCTTCTGATCGGCAAGTCCTAGGCTCTGTGGTTTAGACCACAGCACCACCCGCGTACTGCACCCTTAAGTTCAATGATATTTTCCTGATTCCATTGGTTACTTTCTAAAGAAGAGGTGAGGCAACCAAAGGTTTTCTGAAATCCCTGGTCCCCAGTTCCAAAGTTTCTCACTAGCAAGATAGAGGCAATTTGCACATGCCCATTAGGTAAAGGTAAAGGGACCCCTGACCATTAGGTCAAGTCGTGGCCGACTCTAGGGTTGCGGCGCTCATCTCACTTTACTGGCCAAGGGAGCAGGTGTACAACTTCTGGGTCATGTGGCCAGCATGACTAAGCCGCTTCTGGCGAATCAGAGCAGTGCACAGAAACACCGTTTACCTTCCTGCCGCAGCAGTACCTATTAATCTACTTGCACTTTGACGTGCTTTCGAACTGCTAGATGGGCAGGAGCAGGGACCCAGCAACGGGAGCTCACCCCGTTATGGGGATTCGAACCGCTGACCTTCTGATTGGCAAGTCCTAGGCTCTGTGGTTTAACCCACAGCACCACCTACGTCCCACCCGGACATGCCCATTACTTTTACACAAAACATTCCACAGCTGAACCTCTGGCAGTGGCAAGGTTGCAGGGTTCAGCTTTGACTCATCTTGAGCTGTGTTTGCCTGCAAGAGGACTAGAGTCCCCATCCCCACCCCTTTTAGCAGCTTGCATTTATCTGATTTTGCCCAAGTTCCCCACAATTCAGCTCTCACCTTTTGTTCCTTGAAGCTGTCAGCATGGGACAGCAGTCACACTCTGGGAAACGGCTTTGACAGGCTGGCTAAACCAGGTGAGGGGAGCTGATGGGTCTCAAACCCGTGGTGAGTTAGGGTGCCAACAACAAAAGTTCTGGGTAAACAGGAATAAGATCTTGCTGGACGAGCACATTGAATTGTAGGCCATAGCTATTGTGAAAGTTTAGGTTATTTACAAGTGGGATCTGAAACAAAAGATTGCAGTGCAGAGTGCTCCCTATTAGGACTGCAACCCACCCCCTGCTTTCCTGTCCCCCACTACAACAGTGATCATTGAGCTCTTGGCTTCTCTCTTAGCCCCACCCCTCCCAAAATGTTCTTATCTTTCTGCAGAAATTGAGCTTACCCAAGGCTGTGTGTGGGATGGTACTATTTTGGCTACACAAGTAACAGCACTCACAGCCTGAGCATCAGAAATAGAGGGAATTATGCACAGCCTTGAAGATGATGAGTGTCTGACAGCAACATATCAGTGAGGGCTCTCCAAACTCTCTTGAAGTCACAGCTATGGACCAGGGTCTCAGATGTACAGGTGCAGGCTGTGTGACGACTACCCACCCAGGAGGACAATGGATTCTTGAAAGGGATATCCTGATGCAGCCATTTTGATGCAGCTATTGTTCAACAATTGAGAGACAGAAATCCATGCCAATCTATTTCAGCTCATCTAGAGATCTACCAGCAGAGGTGTAGTGGTTCAGAATAGCAGGGAGCATAGATGCGGAGTTTTGAACCATGGAAAATATGTCTTCTCACCCTTTGTGCTGATTGGAGCCAACCAGAGGGAAAGAGGAGGCGAGAGAGCCACTGGCTCCCAGGGTCACCCTGGAAAAGAAAACTGAAGAGGAGTTGTTCCATTTGCTCCAAGGCTCAGCATTTAGGAACACTGGATAGACAAGGTGCTTTCGTTTCAAGAAAAGGATGTGCTGAGAAAGACAGGGTTACTTAAAAGGAAAATGCTGCTCTGAAAGCAAATATTGGAGCAAATCATTTGCCCAACCTTAAAAAGGTAAAGGGACCCCTGACCATTAGGTCCAGTCGTGGCCGACTCTGGGATTGCAGCGCTCATCTTGCTTTATTGGCCGAGGGAGATGGTCATGTGGCCAGCATGACTAAGCCACTTCTGGCAAACTAGAGCAAACACTGAAACGCCGTTTACCTTCCCGCCAGAGTGGTACCTATTTATCTACTTGCACTTTGACGTGCTTTCAAACTGCTAGGTTGGCAGGAGCTGGGGCCGTGCAACGGGAGCTCACCCCGTCGTGGGGATTCGAACTGCCGACCTTCTGATTGGCAAGTCCTAGGCTCTGTGGTTTAACCCACAGCGCCACCCGCATCCCTCATTTAGTCCCTCATTGCCCGACCTTAGAAGGCTGTATAATCTTAAAAAGCAGTGTGGCTGTGAGTTGTGTGGCTGTGACCAGGCCTGTGCAGAGCTCGTCTGTGGCCTGGGGTGAGAGTTTTGTTAAAATAAAGTTATAAACTCAAGCAAAAAAAGTAGCTGGTCCCTGGTGGGCCCCCTGGCAAGCTTTGGCCTCTGAGGCCTGGGGCCAGGGTCCCCAGCTGCTCCTCCCCACGGCCCCTCTGCATGGGCCTGGCCACGACTATCATGAAGAGATCCTGCAGTTTGGAATTTCATAGAATCATAAAATTGTAGGACACAACTCAGTCAGGCCAATACACCCAAGGAGGACTTGAAGCCTGAGCAGGGGGAGAGTAGTTCTGAGAGCTGGACAGAGAGGGGCACTTGGCCGCTGGACCTGAGGTTCCCCATCATGGGCCTAGCCAAAGGGGGGGAGCTGCCCCCCAATCAATCAAAAGCAGCACAAATCTGAGGTTTAGCGCCCCCCCAACAAAAATCCTGGCTATGCCCATTATCCCCATCCCTGATGTTGAGAATATGGAGTGTGATGGACTAGTGGAGCTGACTTAGTAAAAGGCTGTGCAGCATGCCAGACATTGATAGCACATCTCTTCCCAAAGAATCCTGGGAACCGCAGTTTGTTAAGAGTGCCAATAATTGCAGGTCTGTAAGGGGTGAACTACAGTTTCCAGGAGTCTTGGGGGGCGTGGGATGTATAGTGCGTGTCCTAGTGGCTACAAGTTTCTATGTTCCTAAGCCTACGTTGACACAGGCCGAATGCTGCCTGGTGGCTTCTGCACGTCCTCAGAGGTTCTCTCGTCAGAGCGGAGCGCTGGAGTAGGAAACAGGTGCGCGACTCGGTCCCGCGGATTCTCCGCGCAACGGTGCCCCAGGGTAATTGCTGGCTGGCTGCCTTGCGCCCTGCCCGCCCGGCCCGCCTTCTTCGCCCAGCCTCTCCCCGCTGCCGCACTGCCCGCGCCGCCGCGCTAGCAACAGGGGCGAGCCGCGCTGCTGCTGGCCGCTTGCAGAAAGTTGCGCGGTGCCAGCGACGCTTCCACCGGAATCCGGATGCGCTCCGAGGAGGCAGCCGCCGCCGCCGCCGCCCCATTATCACCATCCCCAGCAGCTGCGCCCGGGCTGCTCCTCCCCGGGACGTCGCCGCCGCCGCCGCCGCCGTCCAGGGGTCTCCCCGGGCAGAGAGGGCGACTGGAGCCGGGTAATGGTCGCGAGGGCGGCCTTCGCCGAGGATGGAGGCTGCGGGGGTCGCGGGCTTTTGTGGCCCAGCGCGGGGGCCATTTTGGCTTCGCCTCGCCTCCCCTGCAGGCACCTGCCAGGGCGCGCGGGACTCGGCGGCCTTTCCCGGAGAAGCGAGGGAAGGAGGCGCGCGCGGTTCATCTTCTCCGCTGTGGAGCTGCGCGTGGGAGCCGAGAGGGGGAAGGAGAGTGGATCGCGGGAGCCGGGCCGAGGAGGAGGGATCGCACGGGAAGCCACCCTCCCTCCCTCGCTCGCTCGGTTAAGGGAGGCCATTAAGACCGGCGCGGGGGGGATTGGCTGCAGCTCCCCCAACAACGGATGATTCAGGCGGCTCGCTTCGCCCGAGCCCGCCCCCGCCCCCCGCTCCTTGCGCACCAGCCCCGGCCGGCGAGTCCCCCAGGCAGCGCCGAGCGCCCAGCAAGCCACCCGGTTACGTGGGGTAACCAGCTAGCGCGCAAAGGCAGGGAGAGGGTGCGCGCTTGCTTGCTTGCTTGCTTGCTTGCTTGTGGGGAAGAGCATTGCCTGCCCCCCCCCCACGCGCGGGAGTGGGGCTAGAAGATCGGTGGGGAGGGGAATCGAGGCGCTTGCTCTCTCGGGGCTCACCATTTCTTTTCTCTCTTTCTCCCCGTCTGGTGTCAGAAGCAGCGGCGATGGAGGTCCCGCAGCTCGACCTGCTGGAATCCCCCGAGGGCTGCCCCTCTCCTCTGGAGCTCAAGTCCGCCCCCAGTAAGAAGATGTGGGTCAAGCTCCGGGCGCTGTGAGTAAGCCGATGTACTTGCCCCCCCCCGCACCCCTTGGGCCTTTCTGTCTGCCTGTGGCTCCGCCGCCAAACTCTTTCGGATCTTCCCCATCTGGCGTTCCTTGGCACCGCGGAGGCTTCTCCGATCTCCCGGACACCAGTCGCGCGTTGCGCCCGGGCTGGGTGGGGGCGAGGACTATGCCAGGCTTGGAGGGCAGGGTTGCTGCTGCTGCGGTGCCTGGTCGGCGGAGGGGGAGAGGACGCCTGGCCGGGCTCGCCCCTCGCCCCGTGTTTTCTAGACCCTGGACCGGGACGTGTGCATCCTCCTCAGCTCAGGGTTCGCTCAAGCTTTTGTCTGCCCCAACAAGTTAAGGCAGTTGAATTCTCGCTGTGCTCCTGCCGCTGTCATGGGGGAACTGCCAGGCTTTACCGCTGGGGGGCTATTTTTTTTTTTTTTGCCGCAGCAATTAATAGCATTTGACGAACTGTCTCCAGCTGCTTTGGTGTGGGGAAACCCATGAATCCCCCCACAACCGCCAGCAGCGCTTGTTGATCTTTCCATGTTGTGAGAAGAAGTCATCTTCATGCAATGTGCAACAGTCTTAGTGAGCTTGCGTTGCCTAGGTTGGGGGTTGTTGTTGTTTTAGCTGCATCCATGGGGACTAGAAACTTGCCGTGCGTTCCAGACAGAACTTGTTTGCACCACTTTTTCTGTGACTTAGTGCTTGAATAATGCAAAAGTGGGTGATCTAGAGCAGGAAGTAGCACCGAAAAGACCAACAAGAAAACCAGTAGTGCATGGGATGGGACAGAGGAAGCCACCCTGCAGCAAAACAGAGTATATATCCATTTTATCCAGTGTTGTCTACTAGTGACTGGCAGTGCTTATCTGGAAGAAGGTCATTGCATTGCTTGCTTTCTGGTTCCTTGAGAAACAATAAAAAAACCAACAACCTGGAGATGCCAGGGATTGAACCTGTGACCTTCTACCCATGGGTGTAGCCAAGGGGTGGCAGAAATTCCCTCTAAATCCCCCCATCCATCAAAATCAATATAAAAAAATACAAATCTGCCCCCCTAACAAAAATCCTGGCTGTGCCCCTGCTTCCACCCTAGCAGCTGTTTGGGTATTGCTCAACTGTCCCTGGAGGGTTCCTTGGACTATACCCTACATCCATATCCTCTGGGGAAGGTCTTTAGCTCAGGGATAAGTGTACTTGCTCTGAATGCTGAAGGTCCTTGGTTCAATTTCCCATCTCCAGTTAGGGCTGCGAATATCTGCAGCTACTAGGCGTAGAAGTCTGAGCCAGAGAGCAATGGCCGAGCCAGTACAAGGTGGCTTCCTATGTTCCTAGGCTGGCCACGTTGGCATGGCTTGGTAGTTATGAGACCGAGCGACAAATAGGGCAGCCCTGGGTTCAAAGCTTGTCTTTGTGGTGAACTTACCAGGGGGCCTTAGCAAAGCCCAGATTTGCTGAGCCTCACCACCAGCAGCAATGTAGGGATGGTAGCGCTGACCTTGCCTTGCAGAGTTTGTCATAAGAATTGCACTGTGACAACGGTGCATGTGAAGCTCTTCAAGCATTTTTATTGCTAACCATTTCCAGGGATCGGGGCAAGTCCTGCATGGCTTGTAGGTGGCAAGAATATAATGCTGCATTCTAAGTGCAACTCGCCAGGGAGAAAACCCCGTTGAGTTGTTGTTGGAATTTCTATACTGCCCTTCCTCTGAGGAGCACAGAGCATTTTTACAATATAAAAACACAAAAAATACACAGCATGGTAACAAACAAAAACCATAACCCCTCACCCATTATTATTATTGTTGTGGAATTTACTTCAGAGTAAACATGCTGAGGATTGCACTGCAAATTAGCTGCCTGCCACCAAAGAGATCTGTGGCCCCCAAAGCATCTTTTTATTGTTGCAAACCTGACGTCGAATTCATTGGGCCAAGTGCAGAGTTTTGTGTTGGTTGGAAGAGGCAGGCTGGGATCTGACGCTTCCGTAAATACAAAGTCCCAGTTTCTGGCTACAGAACCCCTTGCATCTTATTCCCTTGCTACCTGAAGGCACAGAGGTCTCCTTCTGAAGCTGCCCTTGCAGGCAGGCTCTGTTCCAAAAGAGTCCTTTCTTTCCTGAGGGAGTGAAGGGATAATCATGAAGTAGCTTAAGATTGTGTTCTTTGTGCAATCTTGCCCCACATTAGATCTCTTTAAGTGCTTGCATATGCTGAATTTTGTTGTTGTTGGAATTATGAAACTGGATGTGACCTGGTCACCTGAAGGAGATGTCGGGCGCAGTTCAGTGGCAGAACACTTGCTTTGCAAGCAGAAGGTCCCAGGTACTGTCCTGGCCATCGCCAGGCAGGGCTGGGAGAGGCTCTTGGGTGAAATCCTGTTGCCAGTCAGTCTAGACAGTACTGAGCTAGATGGACCCCATGGTCTGACTTGCGAATGGCAGCTTCCAAGAAAGTCATCCTTCGCTCCATAGTTCCACCCTCCCAAGCGAACACTCAACAGCCAGCTTGTTGCATTGCAGGGGGCTGGGCTGGATGACCCTCAGAGTCCCTTCCAACTCTACAATCCTATGATTCTGTTTGGAGGCCAGGGTTCAAATCCCCATTCAGCCATGAAACTCACTGGGTGACCTTTGGTCAGCTGTCATCTCTCAGGCTAGCCAACCTTACAGGGTTGTTGTGGCCCCTTATGAACCTTGGAAGAAGAGTAGGATGAAAACAGGAATGAAATAAGGTGCGCTGTGTGGCTGCTGCCCTGTGGCCAGGTAGCTGGCTCACCCACATGCTTTAAGTTTTCTGGGTCTCCTTTTCATTCAGGCTCTCTAGGAATCTGGCTTAAACTCCAGGGGACAATTTGTGAATCAGGCTCCAGGGATTATTCTGGGAGCCATCCCATGGCTGCAACATGTTATGTTTAAAGCTTGCTTTTAGCAGAGCAGAGTGCCAATTCACACCTCTCCTGACACTTGCAAAGGGTAGAAAGGAGGTGAGCATGTTCACCTGTCAGCAGCTCAGCAAGGGTGCATTTTAATTCATCCATAATGCTTCAAAGAAGGAGGGGAGGAAACCCGCTCTGCGGTCTGGTTAAACTGTGTCTAGCTTGAAGGTGCTGGAAATTGCAAATGTCTTTTTTCCTGCTTGGGCAGTTTTCTTATAATGAAACTGGATGGTGGTGCAATGTAGTAGAGAGATGCAAATGGCAAATGGGTGAGCGTGGGGACAGGGACCATAGCGCAGTGGTAGAAGACCTTCTCAGCAAGTACAGCAGGGATTGTGGCCCCCCAGCTGCGGTTCAGCCCCAGGGATAGTGGAAGTTGGAGTCCAGCAACATCTGGGAAGGCATAGCTTCCCCAAAACTGATATAGAAAGACTCAGGATCAGTCTCTGGCATCTGCATCTAAATGGTCAGGTAGCAGGTAATGGGAGAGACCTTTTCCTGTGTGAGCTTGGAGAGCCACTGCCAGTCAGAGTAGACAGTACTAGATGGTCAAATAGGCTGGCCTGATGTAAGGCACCTTCCTCTGTGTACCTGTAGTGGTTGGTTCAGGTAGTAGGTTTTGGGGAGTACTTCTGCCTGAAACTGCCTGCTAGGCAGCATTGGTTGGGAAACTGACATTGCTGGACTCCAACTCCCATTAACTCCCAACTCCCATTAACACGCTCAGTGGTTAGGGATGATGGGAGCTGTGGTTCAATATCATTTGGAAGACACCAGGGCTAGATGGACCAACTTGACTCAATTTAAGGTAGCTTCATATGTTAGCCTGACTCACCTTCAATCCGAGTTTCCTGTTAGCCTGACCTACCTTCCTTGCAGTGAAATCAGCTGAGGATACATTTATAGTCTACTCTTGGTCCCTCCCTTGAAACAGGACAGGGAAAAGCCTAATTGAAACATAGGGTCCCTGATCCACACAAAAAGTTGCACAGGTTGCCCTTGTCCCTACTTCATAGCAGCGGAAATGAAATTGGGATTTAGAGATTTGGCTAAAGTCTGCCCAGTTCTTCTCTATGCACTGAGAACCTGAGGTGTGAAGGCGACACTTGTACAGGAGGTGGGATTTGCTGCCGATCCCTGAGCAGTGAACGCTTGGTGGCAAACTCTGATTTCCTGCTGTGCAGTGTGTGAATGGGCTCCGTGTTTCATATGGCAGGCAGGGACCTTATTCCCACTGAGCTGGAAAATGTGTCTGGCCAGTACTGCTGCAGGTGGAAACTCACAGGATTGACTGCTTCCTTACCCACAGGGGGGGCGGGGGGAAGATTCCTGCACATAGAAAATCAGCATGTCAGGGAGAAAGCCAGGCTGGACATGCTAGTTTTCTGTGTGCAAGGAGCTTTTCTTGGCACATAGATGTGCCCACCCACCTGTGGTCTGGGGGCCAAATTAGACAGGATGCAGTAAACATGTGGAGTGATGGTCAGTGGTGTTTGTTTTTCTTTCACAGTGGGCTCTGAATTTTGACTGCCACATTGGTGCCCACAGACCATTTAATTTCCCCCCTTTAGCATCCTCCTTACACCCATCAAGTTGCTTCCCCCCCTTCATTCTACAAGCCATTCATTTCACTGAGCATTTGTGGGATCACATCGCATACAAAAGAGAGAAATTGTTTCTCTGCTTCCCTTGCACCAAGCCATGTACATGCAATTATAAACCTTTATCTTGTCTTCTAAACTAAATATCCTCATTTCTATTAGCCTTTTCTCACGAGGAATCTTCTGCTGTCTGTTGATGCCCCTCCTGCCCCCTTTCCAGCCCTGCAATGTCCCATGGATAGACAAGCTTATCCGCAAAGTAAACATCCTTTGATTTTGCGGCCTGATTTCAGTTGTGACGCAAGGCATGGCAAAACACTGATCTGCGCACGTCTCCATCTGTGCATGCGTGCGTTCCCATACAGTGTGTGCTAGCTTGTACACATGAAGAATTCACTTGTGGCCTGCCTGAGTCACAGATTGCTGCCATGCTCAGCATGTCGCCTTGGGGGCCAATACCTGAATGCATGTCATTTAAGATAAGGCAGTGGTTACGCTTGCTGAGGTGAATGTTGTATCGGTGACCTGCATTGCATTCATATTGGAGCTCAGTCTGTCCTAAGTTTTCTCCAAATTCCAGCTCCCTTAAGCCTGCATGTGCCTCTTGGCTGTTTCCTATTGG